AGCGCCACGAACCCGCCCCGCGGCAGCAGCAGCAGCGCCCCCGCGCGGCCCAGCCCCGCCACCGCCAGCACGGCGCCGGCCGCCAGCGCCAGGTGCAGCAGCGCCAGCGCGGCCGGCAGGGGGCGCGCCAGGCCCCGCGCCAGCCCCCAGCCCAGGCACGGGAAGGGCAGCTCGAAGAGCAGGCGCGCGCAGGGCGCGGGGAGCAGCCCCCGCCGCTCGTACGGGTCCAGCAGCAGCGGGAGCGCGCGCGCCGCCCCCGCCACCGCCAGCAGCGCCCCCCGCGCCCGCGCCGCGCGCCCCGCGCCCCCCCGCAGCAGCAGCGCGAGCCCCAGCAGCGCCAGCGCCGCGAACACCGCCCCCGCCCCGAACACGTGCGCGGGCCACGCCCGGCCCCACGCGCCCGCGGCCGCGCCCCAGCTGCGGGGCGGGGGGAGGAAGTGCGGGGGCCACGAGAAAGGCGCGGGGGAGGCGCGCGGGTGGGGGGGGCACCGCGACGGGGGCGGGCACGGGGAGGGGGTGGGCGTGGGCGCGGCTGCAGAGAGGGGAAAGGGGGGGTGGGGGGGGGAGCACCCGCGCGGGTGCGCGCCCCTCCCCCGCACCCCCGGGACACCCCGCACCCTGACCCTAACCCTAACCCCCCCCGGGACACCCCGAAACCCTCCAGGAGCCCCCTGCTCCCCCCCGTAAGAGACCCCAGATCACCCCCAGTCACCCGCAATGCCCCCCCCGGAACCCACTGACCCCCCCCCCAAGACTCCCCTAAGACCCCAATACAACCCCAGTACCCCCCGATCCCACCCTGCACTCCCTTAGCCCCCCCCTCCCCCGGATCCCTTCCACCTGGGACTCCCAAACCCTCCAAACCCCCCAGCCCCCCCCTACGCCCCCATTAAACCCCGCAGGAGCCCCCATTCCCCTCCCAGGACCCCCTCACTCTCTTCTAGGATGCCCCCAATCCCACCCGGACCCCTTTAGAGACCCCCAAGACCCCCCTAGGACCCATCAGCAGCGCCCCAGGCCGCCCTCAACTCCTCCCCTCCCCCCCCGGATCCACCTTTCTTCCCCCCCAGTTGCCCCCAGGCCCCCCCTACGCTCCCATTAACCCACAGCCCCCATTCCCAGGACCCCCTCACTCTCCTCCATGACACCCAAATCCCACCAGGACCCCCCCCGGACTCTCCAACCCGCCCCCCAGAATCCCCCCATTCCCCTCACCTGGCTCGGTGCTGCCGCTGCCGCCCTCCTCCTGCCCCCAGGAGCCGTTGCCCCCCCCCAGTGCCTCAAAGCTCAACTTGGGGGGCACCGTGGGAGCCAGGGACCCTGTGGAGGGGAGACACGGACCCTCAGATTGGGAGGGGGGCTTAATATTGGGGAGCGGACCCCAGGCCAGTGTTGGGGGGCACTCACCGGTCATAGGGGGGCCCTGCAGGAGGCTGGGGGGGGGAGACCCCAGTTTGGGGTCCAGCCCTGCTGTCAGGTCAATGGCGATGTCCAGCTCCAGCCCCTTGTGCTCCTCAGATGGGGGGGTCCCCTTCGGGGGGGGGACGCCCCCAAAGGCCCCCATTGCCAATGGGGGCGTCCCAGAACCCGTCTCGTCACCGGGGTCCCACCCTGACCCCAATGGGGACAGGTTGTGGGGCTGGGGGTGCGATGTGGGGCGGGGGGGGGGCCGACTTCGCACCTTGAGCTTGAAGTTGAGGCCGAGGTTGAGGGACAGGACGGGGGGGGCGTCGCTGTGGGGAGCCCCATAGATGGGGGGCAGGCAGAGCAGGGCCAGCAGCAGGCGGGGGGCAGCGCCCAGCCCCACTGGGGACATCGCTGGGGACATCTGTGAAGAGGGGTGGGGGGGGTGGTTACACGGAGCTGGACATCACTATGGGGTTTGGGGGGGACTCACAGCACCCACCCCATGGCACAGCCAGGCCCATGGCATCCAGCCAGACCCATAGGGTTCAGACAGCCCCACAGGACATAGTCCACCCCATGGCACACTCAGCCCCACAGCACGCGTCCCACCCTACATCACAGCCAGATCCATGGCCAGCCCTGCAGCACACCAAGCCCCATGGCGCAGTCATCCCCATGAAACAGCCAGCCCTATGGCACATCATCCACCCCATGGCACACACCCAGCCCCACAGCACACCCAGCCGTATGGCATACTCTGCCCCATGGCCAGCCCCACAACACGGTCAGCCCCGTGGCACAGCCGTTCCTATGGCGCACACCCATGGCCAGCCCCGCGGCACAGCCAGCCCCACAGCGTTCAGCACCCCCAGCCCCACGGGGCCCATGGAGTTCCTTGGAGGGTGACGGAACCCTTCCCCCATGACCCCGTTCCCCCCATTACCTGGGTCCCCCCATGACCCTGTGTCCCCCCGCCCCGCCCGGTGCCTGTCCCTAATGCGTGTGACAGGAGCTGTCTCCGGTGTCACATCGGCCGCGTCCCGCTGGATGTGACGTGACGGGACCCGGCGGCACCGGCGCCGTGCGGGGCACGGGCACGGGGGGGTGGGGGGGGCACACGGGCGCACATGGGGGGTGGGGGGGGGACACGCGCACGTCCGGGTGCAGCACCCACGGGTGACACTCACGGACCCCGTGGGGTGCAAGCGCGCGTGACACCCGTGTCCCCGCTGGTCCCATGCGCGTGGCAGCACACGCGTGGTTGCGCGCACCCCCCCTGCGCTCCCCCTTGCACCCCCCTCACCGCGCACCCGCACCCCCGTGCACGCGTGGGTGGCCGTGTGCGTGTGACACCGCGTGTGGGTGTGCACGCGTGGCAGCGCGTGTGAGCGTGAGACAGCGGGGGGGGGGGGCAACCACCCACCCCCACCACCCCCACCACAGCACCCCTGCACCCAGCACCCTGGTGTAACGCACCCCAAACCCCTCCACCCTGGGCACGCAGCCCCCGCACCTACCGCCCTGCACCCCAACACTGAGCTCTCCGCACCATGAACCCCGAAACCCAGCACCATGGGCACACCATCCCCGTGCACCCCACACCACACACCCCAGAACCCAGCATCCAGCACCCTTCACCCTAGCACCTCAACATCGTGCACCCCAGCAAAGCAGCACCCCAAACCCCTGCACCCCAAGTATCCTGGGCACCCCAATACCCAGCACCCCAACACCGGGCACCCCATCGCCCTGGACACCCTAAACCCCTTCACCCCAGCACCCCCATACCTGACACACCCCCTCCCCACACCCCCGTCCGTGGACACCCCCCCCCCCACGCACCCACTGGCCTCGGCGGCGGCTCCAGCCTCGGCCCCGCTCCGCGGCAGCACCGGTCCCAGCGGCACCGGCCCCTCCCCTCACCTCCCCCCCACCCCACCTTTACAGCCCCCCCTTCTTCACCCTCCTCTTCACCCCCTCCTCCTCATCCTCCTCCTCCGCGATGGACGCGGGCACTAGGACCCGGCGGAGCCCAGTTCGGCTCGGCTGAGTTCGGCTCCGTTCGGCTCCGTTCGGCTCCGCTCGGTTCCTCTCGGTCGCACTTGGCTCCACTCGGCTGAGCTCGGCCCCGCTCGACGCCGCTCGGATGAGCTCGGCACCGCTCGGCCCCGTTCGGTCGCACTCGACTCGACTGGACTCGGCCCCTCTCGGCTCCCACGGTTACATCGCTCACGCTTGCCCCGCTGCTCACACGCGTGCTGATGGTGGCAGTGGTGCTGATGGGTGCGCCACTGCAGCTCTCTCTGCTCTCCTCTTCCTCAGCCGAGACATCACTCCTGACACATGTGGGACACAAACGTGTGTCCTATAGCACAGGGACGTGCCCCTGGTGTGCAAACATGTGCCATGCTCTGCAAGTCCATGCCCATGGTGTGCAAGGGCAAGCCATGGTGTCAAAACCTCTGCTAGGGTCGCAAACCCCTGACACAGTGTGTGGACCTGTGTCCCAGTGTGCAAAGCTATTCCCATGGTGTGCAAACTGCTGCAAACCCGTGTTTCCATGTGCAAATCCGTGTCTCCATGTGCAAATCCGTGTTTCCATGTGCTAATCTGTGTCTCCATGTGCAAACCCGTGTTTCCATGTGCAAACCCATGTCTCCATGTGCAAACCCGTGTCTCCATGTTCAAACCTGTTTCCATGTACAAATCCGTGTCTCCATGTGCAAACCCACATTTCTATGTGCAAATCCGTGTCTCCATGTGCAAACCTGTGTTTCCACGTGCAAACCCATGTCTCCATGTGCAAACCCGTGTTTCCATGTGCAAACCCGTGTCTCCATGTGCAAACCCGTGTCTCCATGTGCAAACCCGTGTTTCCATGTGCAAACCCGTGTCTCCATGTGCTAATCCGTGTCTCCATGTGCAAACCCGTGTTTCCATGTGCAAACCCGTGTCTCCATGTGCAAACCCGTGTTTCCATGTGCAAATCCGTGTCTCCATGTGCAAACCCGTGTTTCCATGTGCTAATCCGTGTCTCCATGTGCAAACCCGTGTTTCCATGTGCAAACCCGTGTCTCCATGTGCAAACCCATGTCTCCATGTGCAAACCCATGTCTCCATGTGCAAACCCGTGTCTCCATGTGCAAACCCATGTCTCCATGTGCAAACCCATGTCTCCATGTGCAAACCCGTGTTTCCACGTGCAAACCCATGTCTCCATGTGCAAACCTGTTTCCATGTGCAAACCCATGTCTCCATGTGCAAACCTGTTTCCATGTGCAAACCCGTGTCTCCATGTGCAAATCCGTGTTTCCATGTGCAAATCTGTGTCTTCATGTGCAAACCCATGTGCACCCCCCCCACAGCGTGTAAAGCCATGTCACGTCATGCAAGCCCACCCCACTGTGCAACACTGCATCGGGGTGACCCAGCTGTCCCCAGGCATGAGAGGCCATGTCATGTGTGTCATGTGTATCCCGTTTATCACATGTGCCACGTGTGTCCCATGCGACACCTACACCATGGGATGCTCTATTACTTTATTAATACCTGATATAACGGGGTCCCCCTCAGCCTGCTGGGGACCCTTGGGATGGGCAGTCCCTGGATTGGGGGGTCCCTTGGGTGGGGGCTCCCTAGTTATGGGTGGGGGGGGCCCTGTAGGGGGGGACACCCTGAGGTGGGGGATCCCTGGGTATGAGGTCCCTGGGTAGGGGAAACACCCAGGGTGGGGGGTCCATTCTAGGGGGCTCCCTGGGTTGGGGGTGACCCCTGGGTGGGGATGTCCCCAGGGTGGGGGGACCCTGAGTGGAGGGACCCTGAGTGGGGGGTCCCGTGTGCCCCCCAAGAAAGGGCTCACGGGGGTGCAGCACCCTGGGGCCCCCCCAGGCACCATTGCCCAGGGGGTGCTGGGGGGTTGAAGCAGTCCAGCCCATAGTGCAAAGAGCCCCAGAGCAGCACCAGTGACGGTGCTGCTCCGGGGGGGGGGGTGTCAGGGGGACCCCGTCCTCAGTACAGCCGCTTCTCGTACCTGTGGGGCAGAGATGGGGAGTCAGGGGGTCATTCAACCAGCCAGCCAATGAGCAATCATGTCAGCATCCTGCCTGTCTACATGCCAACTATCTGACCAATCATTGCCAAACAGCATCCTGACTGATCACCCAGTCACCCAACCAGCATCCTCACCACCATTCAACGAACCAATGAGCAACCTGGTCCCCCAACCCATCAACCAACCAGCAGGCAGGACAGCAACCAGTCAACCAGGTGACCAATCACAGCCAACCAGCATACTGACTAGCCAACCAGCCAGCATCTTGGCAAGCAATGAACTGACCAACCAGGATCCTGGTCAACCAGCCAACCATCACCTCAACCAACCAATCAGCAGCCACCCAAACACAAGAAGCCCCGCCCCCCGACCCCAAAACCCACTGCAGCATCTCGGGGGGCCCAAGGTTAAGCCCCCGAGTGCCCCAGGCTCTCCCAGTCTGGACGAGTACTCCCAGTACAGGGGTGCCCCATAGCTGGGGGGGTTGGCAATGGGGTAAGGAGGGGGCTGGGAACACCAAAACACAGCAATGGGGGAACTGCGACCCCCAGTAGCTCACACTGGGGCAATGGGGAGGAGCTGGGACCCCCAAACCCCAGCCCTGGGACCCCCCCAATACCTGAGCAAAGGGTGGCTGGGACCCCCCATACTCTAAAACAGGGTTCACCGGGTGCCCCCCCCAACACATGTAACCCCACACCCCATATCCCCCCCAAGCTCTTCCTTTGTCCCCCCCCTTACGAGTGGAGCCCGTGGACCCCCCCCTCAAGCTGCGCTGCCATTGTCCTCCTCTCGAACTTCAGCTCCCCCGAGTACATCATGGACCTGGGGGGGGGATTGGGGGGTCAATGGGGTCGGGTACCCCCAAACGCCCCCCTCCATGACCCCCCCTCAACCCACCGCAGCACTGAGAGGCTCCGGGCACCGATGTCCTGGCACCCGTGCTGGATGCCGGCGATCAGGTACGGGATGAAGTGATGGATGGAATTCTCCGGGATGGGGCCGGATGGGTCCCCCTTGCTATGGGGTGACACGGGGGGGGTGGGTAAAGAGGGGGGTTCAGGGTGCAGGGAACCCCCCAGACTCTGCCTATGATGTACCTGTGGTGGTGGCCAGCGGCCGTGTCCTGGTGCGGCGACAAACGGGTGGCATCGGGTGGGAGGAATTCAGGGGGGGGGTCGGTGGGGGGGGTCAGGAGGGAGCCCAGCATCACTGTGGGGGGACATGGGGGGGTTAGATATGGGGGGGCAAGGGTGGGGGGTCAGGGACCCACAGGGAGGGGAATGGGGGCTTTGGGAGGGCTCAGAACCCAAAAAGGGGGGGTACTGGGGGGGCAGGGACCCAAGGGGGGACAGGGACCCAAGGGGGGGGCACTGAGGGGCTACAGGGGGCATCAGGCCCTCCTCATGCTGAGCTTTGGGGTGGTTACAGCGGGTTCAAGGCCACTGGACGCGTTGGGGGGGCACCAGGGTTGGTTGGCGGGGTGATGGTCCCCCTTGGGGTGGATGCAGGAGGGTCCTATCCATCAACCCCCAACACAGGTGGTCCTAAATGTGGGTGCAGGGGGTCCCCATCCATCAAGTACCCTGGAGGTACCCCGAAATGTGGGTGCAAGATGGGGTGTCAGGACCCCATTATGAGCACTGTGGGGGGGGTACAGGGGCTGTCAAGACCCCCAGGGATGAGTTTTGGGTGGGCGCAGAGAGCTCTCCATGCATAACCCCCTCCAGAGTGACCGCAAATACAGGTACAAGGCTTTGGGGTGAGTGCAGGGGGCTCCCCATCCATCCCCCCCCCCCCCAACCCTCACCCGTGGAGGCGCCGAGCGCCAGCGCCTTCACCACGTGGCCCAGGGTGCGGAGGCCGCCGTCGGCGATGACCGGGACCCCGAAGCGCCGCGCGTACTCGGCCACGCGGTAAACGGCGGTGCCCTGCGGCCGCCCGCACGCCTGCGCTGCGGGAACGGCGTCAGCACCCGCGCGGGTTCAGCACCCGCAGCGCGGACAGCGCCCAAGGCGGCAGCACCGGGGGGCGCTGGGGTCCGGGGGTACCTTCATGGGTGAAGCAGCCGGTGCCCACCCTCAGCGCGTCCACCCCGGCATCGATGAGGTTCTTGGCTTGGGCGGCTGTGACCACTGCAACGGCACAACGGGGGATGGCCCAACCCGGGACACACCGGCATGGGACAGCCCCACGGGGGGCAAACCGAGGCGGGACACCCTGACAGGGATACCGCCAAGGGACACCACAAAACGGGGCACCCTGACATCGGAGACCCTGACATGGGACATCCCAAAGGAGACACTCTGAGAACAGAAGCCATAGGGGACCCCACAACACAGGACACCCCCATGGGGACAGACCCAGATGGGACACCTGCATAAGGGACACATCAACATGGAACACACTAGTATGGAACACCCCCATGGGGGACAACCCCAAAGGGGACACACTGAGATGGGACCCCCCCACACTGTGATACCCCTACATCATGAGGTCCACTGCACCCCAGTGATCCCCCTGAGCAGCTCAGTGTCCCATGGCACCCCAAAACTGTGCTCAAGAGCACCCCAATACCGAACTCCATGGCATCCCAATGCTGTCCCTGCCCTTCATCCCAATATTCTGCCCCACAGCTCCTCAATCCTTATCCCATGATAACCCAATACCCTCCCTGCCCTGCACCCACACTGCACCCCAAACCCCCACGCTGCCCCACATCACCCCCTCCCTCCTCACCGGTGCCACCGATGACCGGGAGCTGCGGGTACCGGCTCTTGATGTACCGGAGCATCCCCAGCTGGAACCGGGAGTTCCCCTGGGATGAGTCCTGGGGACAAGGAACAAGGGGGCACCCGGTGAGAGGGGGGTTCCGGGGGGAGGGTCCCGGTGAGGGGGGACATAGGGCAGGGAGAGACTTGGGGTGCTGTGGGGTGGGGAGCAGGGCAGGAGGAGCATGGGGGTACAGGGGTAAGGATTTGGGGTGTTGTAGTGCAGCGTATTGGGGTGTCACAGGGTGGGGAGCAGGGCAGTGTTCAGGGTGCAGGGCAGGGGAAGCATTGGGATGTCCTGGGGGAAGGATTTGGGGTGCAGAGTTTGGGATGCTCTGGGAACAGGATTTCAGTGCTGTGGGTCTGGCTGTTGGTTGGGGTGCACTGTGTCTCATGTTCCCCTCCAGCCTCAGGGCTCTTCTGCCATGTCCCTTCCCCAGCAGCACCAGCTTGGGATATGGGGTGTCCCCATGTCCCCCCGTGTCTGTCCCTCCCAGGTCAGTGTGCTGTGTCCCCATGCCCGTGCCCCCCGCATCCACCCCTCACCAGCAGCACCAGGTCCACGTGTGCCTGCACCAGCAGGTCCAGCCGGTACTTGTCATCCTCGCGGGTGCCGATGGCCGCCCCGCACAGCAGCCGCGACCCCGCATCCAGCGATGGGGCACAGCCTGCACGGAGCCGCGGCCCTGCCATGGGGACAGGGGCACGTCACGGGGGGAGGGCACCCCAAGGGATGGGGGCCGTGGCCAAGAGCCCAAGGGACACACATGGGGAGACGTGGAGGGGACACTGGGAGAGGGGGACGTGGGGTGATGTGAAGGAATGGGGGATGCGGCAACCCCAAGGGATGAAGTGACATGGATGCAACTTCAGGAACAGGGTGACATGGAGGTGATTTTAGGGATGGGGGGATATGGAGGGGACACTGGGGATGGGGTGATGTAGAGAGGACCCCAAGGGTGAGGAACATGGGGGGATCCCAGCAGGGGAGTAGAACATAGAGGGTGCCCCAAGGGATGGGGCTGGAGGGACATGGAAATGACCACAGGGATGGGAGATACGGGGGGACACTGGGGATGTGAGACATGGAGGGCAAGGTGATGAGTGGACTGCAAGGATGGGGTGACAAAGAGGAGGCCCCAAGGCATGTGAGATATGTGGGACACATCAGGGAACAGGATGGGATGACACGGAAGGACCCCCAAGGACAAGGATGGGGTGACACAGAGGGGACACCAGGCAGGGAGCAGTGATGGAGTGACATGGATGGGACCCCAAGGACGGGGGGATACGGAGGTGACCCCAGGGCCGGGGTGCCCCATCCGTACCCCTCTTGCTGCGCTCCAGGGCCTCGTTGGCCTCCCTGAGGGGGACCCCCGCTGAGGCCACCACCAGGTCCCGGAGCTTGGTCAGTGCCTGCGGGGATGTGTCCATGGGACCAGGCACACGCCTGACCCAGCCCAGCACATCCCGACCCATCCAATCCCATCCCATCCCACCCTGCCCCTGATACCCCTCACACTGAGTCCCCACGTCCCATTTTATTCAATCCCATCCCCGTGCCCCACCTCATCCCTGATCCCATTCCATCCCTGTGTCCAATCCCATCCCTATTCTCCATCCTACCCTCAATCCCACCCCATCCCTGTCCCCAAGACCCATCACAGCTTCTGATCCCATCTTGTCCTGTCCCTGAAACCTACCCCAACTTCCCATTCCATCCCTGGGTCCCATACCAATTCATCCCCACATTCTACCCCATCCCTGTCCATCCTTGTCCTATCCCATCCCATCCTTGATCCCATCATCCCTGACCCTATCCCTCCACTCCACCCCTGCCCTCTGCTCCCACTCCTGCATCCCACATCCCACCAACATCTTCCAACCTTCCCAATTCCACCTCACGTCCCTGCATCCCACCCCTGCCCCCCATCCCATCCCCTTCTCCCACCCCTGCCCTGTTCCCCATCCCTATCCTGCACCCCACATCCCTGTGCCCCCCATCACCTGCCCCGGGGCCGGGCTGTGGCTGTCACTGTCCCAAGGGGCTCCGAGCGGCTGCTCTGGGGTCTGGAGGGAGCCCTGAGAGTATTGCTGGGGGGGGGGAAAGGGGGCATCCATGGGTGGGGGGACCCTCTGATGGGGGGGCACCCACGGGGTGGTTGGAGGCACCCATAGGGCAGGAGCACCCCATGTGGGGGTCCCCCTTACCTTCACCTTGCGCACCTCGCTGGCCTGCACCTCAGGGGTGCAGTTGTGGTGGATGATGCCAATGCCGCCCATCAGCTGGGGGGGGGGGGGGTGCCGGGGGTCAGGGTGGTCCTGCACCCATGAACCCCCTGCACCCATGTGTGTGACTCCCCCATGGTGGGGCCATGCAACCCCCATCCCCTGGGGTACCCCCCACACAACCCAGGGTCCCCCCATGACACCCCAAGGCCTCCCCCCTTCAGGGTGCCCCCCCACCAGCACCTCAAAATCCCCCTTCACCCCATGGCGCCCCCCATACCCCAGAGTCCCCCCCCCCCCCACTCACCGCCATGGCAATGGCCAGCTCGGCCTCGGTGCTGCCCCCGGCGGGGGGGGACACGAGGGGGGTGCTCAGGGACAGGGTCCGGGTGAGCGCCGAGGTCAGGTCCTGGGGGGGGGGGGCACGGATGTCACTCAACGTGGGGGGGGATCACACGGGGGGGTCACAGGGAGGTCACTACAATGGAGGGGGCAGGGACATCACCTTGGGGGGGTCATGAGGAGGTCACCCCCATGGGGACATCACTGTGGGGTGGGGGGACCCATCACCCGGGGGAGGAACCAGGGATGTCACCCTAAGGGGGGGGTCACAGGGACATGTGGGAGTATGGGGAACATCACCCCAATGGGGTTCACAGTGAGAGCACCCCAGTGGGGGGGCAGGACTCACATCACCCCAATGGGGGTGCAGGGGGGGTCAGGACTCACCACCTCATCAGCCGTGAAGTCAATGAAGCCGGGGAGGATGAGGAAGTCACTGCAGGGAGAGATGAAGGGCTCACCATGAACCCTCCAAGTGTCCCCCAGCCCCCCCAAACCACCCCAGTCCCGCAATGGGGGGGGTGTCACACACACACGGGGGGGGGCACAGGGATCTGGGTGCTGCACCCTGACCACGGGGGGGGGCAGGTTTGGGCATGGGGGTTCTTATGGGGGGTCTATGAGGAGTCTGGGGGGGTCAGGGGAGGGTCTTGGGGGGCTTTAGGAAGGTCTAGGGGGATCAAAGTGGGATCTAGAGGGGGTCCGGGGGGACCTGGGAGTCTTGGGGGCCGTGAGGGCCCTGGGGCAGTCAGGGACAGGGGGGTATGAGAAGGACCTGGTGGGGTTTGGGGGGTTCTGGGGGAGCCAAAGGGGGGTCTACAGGGGCCTGGGGTGGGATATGGGAAGGGTCTTGGGGGGGTGTGGGCGTACCTGGGGTTTGGGGGGGTCACGGGGGGTCTAGGGAGGGTCCCGGGGGGGCGGGGCAAAGGGCTTGGAAGGTCTGGGGGGGGGGGATGACTGGGGGGGTTGGGGGGGGTCTCCGGCTGCCTGGGGTCCAGGGTCGGGGGTTGGGGTCTCAGGGGGGGTTTGAGGTGTCCCGGGGGCTCCCCCTCACTTGTAGTTGAGGCCATCGGAGGAGGCGAAGAGCTGCTGCGCCGTGAGCCCGTCCTCGGGCACGTACCCGGTGTCGCCGCTGATCAGGTACCCGGCCATGCTGCCGCACGTAGGGACCCCCCGGACCCCTCATGGGCACCGGGACACCCCAACGGGCCCCCCCGGACACCCCGTGGGCACTGGGACCCCATCGGGACCACCCTATAGCGACCAGGACCCCCCCAGCGAGCATCGGGACCCCCACACCGGGACGCCCCCTTGCATCCGGACATCCTCTGGGATCCCCCCGTACCCAGCATTGGACCCCACCCGGGACCAGGCCGACCCCAGGACTGGAACCCAGTACCGGAACCCCCCCAAAGAGACACCTCCAGGACCCCCCTACGGACACCGGGACCCCCCCACCCCGGACAGGGACCCCCATCTCCCCGGTGCCGGGATGGGTGCATGCGGGGTTCCGGGGGGAGGGGATCCCGATGCCAGGGGGTGTTTGGGGGCTCCCACTCCCACTGGAGGTGTCTGTGGGGGTCCCTGTGGGCCATGGTGCGGGTGGGGGCTCCCAGGGGGGTTCCCGGTCCCGGTGGGGGGAGTCCTGAGGGGCTCCACCGCGCTGCGGTACCGGTTCCCGCAGCAGCCCCGCGTTGGGCGTGGCCTCGGGGGGGGGACGGACACACACGGGCACGATTGCCGGAACCGGGACCCTGCAGCTCAATCTCCCCTCTCCATCCTCCCCATTGCATTCCAGTCCCACCCATCACCTCCCAGTTCCCCCCCATCACCTCCCAGTTCCCCCCCATTGCCTCCCGGTATCCCCCAATCTCCCCCAACCCCTCTAACCCCCCACCTTTCCACTCCCGCCCACTCTCTACTCCCTCCCAGTAACTCCCAGTCCCCCCCCCGGGCCTCCCAGTACCCGCCCAGTACCACTCCGCACCTCCCAGTACCCCCCCACCGCAAACCCCTCCCCAGTGCTACCTCATCATGCCCCATTACCCCCCATATGGGGTCCACTGACCCCCCAGGAGCTCCCATGTGCTCTTCCCCCATCCCAGTACATCCCAACGCCTCCCGGGTACCCCCCTTCCCGTACCTGGGCTCCCCCTCGCCCATGGCGCGCTCAGCGCCCGATAGGGGAGGGGCGATGGGCGGTCCTAACCCCGCCCATCTCACTTGGCCCCGCCCCCTCACCGACCCCGCCCACCTCCGTCCACGTGTATTCAGGCCCCCAAAGCGCACCCGTCACATTCAGGACCCCCCCTTTAACTTTAGGGACCCTCCCTCTATTTTGGGGTCCCCCTTTGGCTCTGGATACCCATTAGTGAGGCCTCTGGATGCTGCACGCCCTCTCTATCCAACCTGAGGGTACCCCCCTCTCCCAAACTTGGGGTGCCCCCCCCCAAATCAGGGTGTCCCCCCCGTTGTTCTTCAAGGTGATGGGTGCTCCTCCCCTCGCCTGCTCGGGATTACCGCTGCCCGCTCGCTGCCTGCGCTAATCCCCTGCTGCAAGGTCAGGGGCACACGAGGGTGGCCCCGTGACGTGATTTAGGGGGTGTCCCCCCCATATCTTGTCCCTAAGGTGGCTCTTGATGACACAAGAGGTCCTCTTGTCACCTGGGGGTCCCACAGTGACAAAGGAACCCCTGTATCTTGGAGTCATCCCTGTCCCTTGGGTGATGTACAATGACACAGGGACCCCCTTTACTCCCTGCATACCCCACAGTGATGCATGGACCCCCATAAATTGGGTACCCCCCTATATCTTGGGTAACATTTGGTGACACAGGGATTCCCATGATTTGGGGATCCCCCTGTCCCCAGGGTGACCCATGGTGGCATAGGGACCCCTATAACGTGGGGATCCCCCTGTCTGCTGGGTGACCGTTGATGACACAGGGGCTGCCACGATTTGGGGATCCCCCTGTCCCCAGGGTGACCCTCAATGACACAGGGACCCCCTCTAACTCGGGGACCACCTTATCCCCTGCATGTCCCACAGCATCACAGGGACCCCAGTAGTCTGGGGACCCCTGTCCCCAGGATGACACAGTTTGGGAACACCCTTATCTCCAGGGTGATGCACGGTAACACAGGGACCCCCCCTGACTTGAGGAACCCCCTAACCCCTGCGTGACCCTCAGTGACAGAGGGAGCCCCCATTACTTAACCCTGCCCCCGGACTCCATGCGCACCACAGAGCCACAGGGACCCCTGTAGCTCAGGGGCACCCCTGTCCTTTGGGTGTCCCTCAATGACACACGGACCCCCATTATTCAGGACGCCGCTTTGTGCCATGGTGGCACAGTGACCCCCATAATTTGGGTCCCCCCCTGTTCCCTGGGTGATGCGCAGAGACTCCCCATAACTTACCCCCCCTCGTCTCTGCAGCCCTTCCCCCTCTAGCCCTCTAGCCCCCCTCCGTTACCCCCCACAGCCCCCTCTTTCCCCGCCCCGTTACCTGCCCCCCAAGCGGGTCCCGCAGCGCGGCGCCGCCGTCTCGTGTCCCGGGGGGGTGGCCTTGGCACCGGCAGCGGGGGGCTCCATGGGGTGGGGGGGGTCGGTGCGGTGCCGGGGGGGGTCCATGGTGGTGTCCCGGGGACGCTCCGGTTGCTCCATTGCTGAGTGTTGGGGGGCATGGCCACTCCCTTTGGCTCCGCCCCCCCCTCTTGGGGGGTCTCGGTTCGGGGGGGGGCCGGGTCGTGTCCGTCTCCCCCGCCCCCCCCCCCGAGTTCGGGCCATTTACAGCCGGGATTAGGGCGGAGCGGATTAACGGGGGAGGGGGAAGAGATTAATGGAAGAGAAGGGGGAGGGAGGGTGCAATGGGGGTTGGCTGGGAGCACTGGGCTGGACTGGGAGCACTGGGCTGGACTGGGTGCACTGGAATGTACTGGGAGCACTGGGGTGCACTGGGCTGGACTGAGCAGGACTGGGAGCACTGGGGTGTACTGGGTGTACTGGGAGGACTGAGGTGTATTGGGGTGAGCTGGGGCATACTGGGGTGTCTCAGTATGGCCCAGTGCTCCCACTATGGCGCAGTGCTCCCCAGTGCTGCCAATGCCAATGCCCCCAGGTCTCTGTGCTGCCAGTATGTCCCAGGGTTCCCAGTCCATCCCGATTCTCCCAGTATACCCCAGTGCTCCCATTATAGCCCAGTGCTTCCATCTCTCAGTGCTTCCAGTAAAGCCCAGTGCTGCCAGTATGGCTCAGCACTCCCCAGTACTCCCAGTGCACCCCAGTATCCCCAAGTGCTCCCAGTACTTCAGCATACCCCTGCACACCCCAGCCACCCAGTGCTCCCACAGACCCAGTACATCCCAGTGCTCCCAGTACAACCCAGTGGGGGCCGCTCGTGAGGTCTCGGTGACGTGGGGGGCTCACACGTGGGAGCCCCCACACCTCGAGATCCCCCCGTGGCACCCGAGGGGACCCCAGCACCCGCCAGGTTAAAAGCGCGCGGGGCCCCTTTAAGAGCTGGGACCAGGAGGGCACCGCCCACAGTGGGCGTGGCCACTCGGGGTGCGGAGCGCGGGATACGCCACGTGGGGGCGCGCCAAGAGGCCAGAAGGAGGGGGTGGGGCAGGACGGGACGGACTGTGCTCCCCCAAATGACCCCAATGAGCCCCCAGTGCCCCCCCAAATGACCCCTCATTGCCCCCCATTGCCCGCCCGTGGATCTGTCCCCCCCCAGCACACCCATTACCCCCCCCCAGTGCCCCCATTGCCCTCCCCGGTGTTGTGCCCCCCCATTCCTCCCATCACCACAAGAGCCCCCCAGTATCGCTCCAGCTCTTTATTGGTACCGTCCAGAACTCGCCCCCCCCCCGACCCCCTTCCCCATCCTCAACACTCAATGGAGTCCTCCAGGAGCTGCAATAAGGGGGGGGGCACACTGGGGGGCTCCGGGGGGTCCGTCCCCCCCCCCTCCTCCAGGCTGTCCTCGCTCACTTCCTCCAGCGCAGGCAGCGCCCCCCGGGGCCCCCCCAAAGGAGGGGTGTCCGGAGCCCCCCCCGAGGCCTCCCCGGGGCTGGGGGCCCGGGGGGGGCTGGGAGGTGGGGGGGGCGGGGACCCCTCGGGGGGCGGGGAGCCCACCGGGTGCCCCACGGAGTTGGCCTGAGGTTTGGGGGTGGGGGGGGGCTGTGGGGCTGGAGGGGGAGGCGGAGGCGGATGGGGGGGCGGGGGGGGATCCGAGCCCTCCTCGCTGAACCCCTCATTGGGGTAATAGAGACTGGGGGGTGTCGGGGAGGATTTGCCGGCGGGGACCTGGGGGGGGCACACGGGGGGGTCAGTGAGGGGGAACCCCTCCCCATGGGGCCCATCCATGGGATTCCCCCCCGTTGTGACCCTCCCCAGTGGGACCTTCCCTTGGGGCCAACCCCTGATGGGATCCTCCCCCACACGTGACACCCCCCCTTAGGACACCCCCGCCAATGGGACAACCCCATATGGGAGACACCCTCCTTGGGACACCCCAATGCGGCAATTCCCCCATTCCCCCCCATGGGACATCCCCTCCCTCCTAGAACACCTCTTGGGGACACCCCCATAGGATACCCCCCTTACCGACTCCCCATCATAAGACCCCCCGAAAAGACGCCTCCATATGGGGCACCCCCTTCTTGGCACCCTCATGGGACACCCCCATATGGGACACGCTCCCCATAGGACTCCCACTTGGAGACGCCTCCCAGGGACACCCCCTATGGGACACCCCCTATTCGGATCCCCCCATAAGACTCCCCCAGCACCCTTTTGGGGTGCCTTACCGCAGCCCCCCCGTTTGGCCTCCCCCCACTCACCGGCTGGAACCAGCGCAGGCTCTGCGGGAGCAGAGGTGGGGGGGGGTTAGATGGGGACACTGAGGCACAAGGGGGGGGTCCCATCTTAGAGCCCCCTCTAAGGTGAGGGGCCAGGGGCTCTTTTAGGAGTACAGGAGGGGGTTGGGGGTCCGCGGCTGTGTTTTGGGGTGCAAGGGGGTGTCTTTGGGTCCAGGGGAGGTTTAGGGGTGCAGGGGGTACTGGGGGTCTGCGAGAGGGGTGCAGGAGGAGAGTGGGGGTCCTGTGTGGGTATTTTGGGGTGCAGGGGCTGGTGTGGGGCTCCTTGGGCATGGCCGGGCGGGGGGTGCAGGGGGGTGTTCTGGGGGTCCCCTACCACATTGGGGTGCTTCTCGATGGCGAGCGCCGCCCGCTCGGCCGCTCCGTGCTGCCGCTGCCGCCGCTTCATGGCGCGGAGCAGGAGGAAGAGGACGGCGGCGGCCACGAGCAGCAGCGCGGCCAGAGCCCCCCCCAGCGCGCCCCCGTGCAGCGGCGCCGCGCCCGCGTCCGACGGGTCCCGGGGCGCTGCGGGCACACAGGGACATGGGGAGACCCCAGGCTTGGGGGACACAAGGAAATGGGGGGGACCCATATTTGGGGATGGGGAGCCCCACAGTTTGGGGGGCACAGGGCAATGGGGCGGGGGAAGACCCAAACCGGGGGTCACAGGGCAATGTGGGGACGATGACACCCCAACTTTTGGGATCAGATGGTAATGGGGTGGGGGATCCCATATCCCATAGCTGAAGGTGGGGGCACAGAGCAATGGGGTGGGGTGGAACCCGTATCTGAGGTTCATATGGCAATAGGGCAGGGGGGGACACCCCAACATTGGGGGTCACAGGGCTATGGGGCATGGGGGGACCCCGACTTTGGTGGGCACAAAGCAGTGGGGGGGGACCCACATTTTGGGTGTCACAAGACAATGGGTAGGGGGGACATTCCATTATTGGGGGTCACAGGGCAATGGGATAGGGGCAACCCAACTTGGGGGGATACAGGGAAATGAGGCAATGGGGGAGACCAATATGTGAGGGTAAGAGCAATAGGGCAGGGGCACCCACACTTTGGGGGTCACAGGGCAATGGGGTGAGTGAGACCCCGACTTTGGGGGTGAGGGGACCCACATCTTGGGGGTCATAGGACAATGGGGCAGGGAGGAACAATTTCTGGCAGTCATAGTTCAATGGGGCAATGGGGGACCCTAACTTTGGTGGTCATACGGCAAAGGGGCAGGGGACATCTTTGTCCCATCTTTGGGGGTCACAGGACAGTGGGGCAGGGGACACCCCAATACTGGGGTCCTGGCTCCCTACCCGCCTGCCCCGGCCACAGCACCTCCAGCTCCACCGTGGTGCTTGA